CGCTGAATTTGCTTCCTTTGAGTATTATCAACCCTTCTAAACTACCGAGAAGAAAACATTTTACCATCTGATCGATCGATAAAATTTTTCCTAGACAAATTTTTCCTGGTACACTATTTTTATGTCCGCATGAAGTTTGCTCATAAAAAGTTTTTGGCAATCTCAAACTTGTCTAATGCGAGTTGTCTATCCACCTCTGTTAATGACGATAACATCGAAAAGTTAAAGAAACGGTGTTTGAAAATCGTCGTGTTGACATCAGAGAGATAAGAGAGGATCCAACGTCTTATGCTATTTGCTAGACTGTACTAAAAGACCAAGTGGAGGTTTGCGCTCACTTCCAGCTCCACAATACGCTTAAAAATAGTATGCTACTTATATTGATGCAACAAATGTTATTGATTTCAAGTTTATTTCACATATGAGCTTTAAAAGTGTGACAAATTTACGCAATTATTTAAAAGCACACTTATCCTAAGCAGAAATATACATAAAAATGCCTTCAAGAGCGAATATATGTTCCACTGTAAACATATCTTTGACAGTAAAAATTTAAAAGCTCACTCACAAACGGATTTCAGAGATTATTTGCTTCAAATTTTTTGTTACCACCACATTCCTTATATAATACTTTATTTTTGCCCCTTAAACCAAATATAATTTTTTATTACCGATGTCCTTTTGCATATCGCTTATGACTTATATGGACTGTCACCCACTTACGCACATCGAAGCACAATAATATCTCCGTTTATCATAAAATAACAATAAAAATGATGAGCAAAAGCAAATAATTTAAACAAATACAGACATAAGAGTGTGTGTGTGTGTGAGAAGGTGATTGTCAGTGTGTGTTGGTTAATAGCAGAGTATATGTGTGTATGAATTATTGTACAAGCTTGTTTGGGCTAATGTTTTTTATTTGAATGCAGAGTTTGTGGCAAACATGTTGTCATAACAAAATATTAATATAAAAAAAAATAAACAAAAAACAACCAAAAAAAAAAAAATTAAAAAATATATAAAAAAACAAGAAGAATAATAATCATAATAAAACGGAAGAGATGCGATATGAAAAATATGCGTGTATTTTATTTGGTTCTCTGTTTCTGTGGTCACAAAAGCTGCGTGTCGCTCTCTACTCAATTGGAAAAAAAGTTCGCATTGAAATTAAAAGTCTGCTTGATATTGCGATAAAGCAGGTTTCGTGCTGCCGCCCAATTTTTTTGCGTACATCTCATTTCTCTGCTCTTGATTTAAAGCATATTTTCGTAATGTTTCCCTTGTTATAGCGATTTTAATAAGTACCGTTAAATTTTCGCTGACAAATTTGTTTTTTTAATCAACATTGTTTAATATTGCTATCATAAGTCAAAAAGCAGATTCTCCCGGGGTTAGAAAAATCTCAGTTCAGCAAGCCGCATTCGTAGGTATATACTCGTGTTTACGGTTAGAATACGTATTTACAGTTAGAGTACATATTTACAATTAGAGTGCGTATTTAAAATTAGAGTACGTATTTACAGTTAGAGTGTGTATTTACAGCAAGAGTTCGTATTCACAGTTAGAATATGTATAACTGCGTATGTACAGTTAATAATGTTTTGAAGTTAACGAGGCTTATAATTAAATGCGGAACGCAATTTAAGCTGGACGAGTACTCGCATTTCATTAAATTTAAATTTCCTGCGCAATTAGTCGTAAGTAATTCATTTCCTGTTAAGGAAACATCTCGCTGATTTTGTGATGTACTCTGAAGTTAATAATATTGTATATAGTAGATGTTACATAATTGAGTAAATAAACAGCGGTAAATAAATTAGATAGGTGCAATTTTTATAATTAATTTTGTCAATTTTACTTGAGATGTAACTCAGCAAATTTGCATTGAATGGCCTAGCTCTGGGAGAATTTTAGAAATTCTTCGGCCTTAATTTAATGGAAGAGATCAACATACTCAAATAAAAAAAGAAAGTTCACGTGCTAACTCGAGTTTAAAGTTTCGAGTTTAAGAAATATGAGTTTACCTTCTTCAGCCTGAACCTGTTACCTTTTTAGTAGAAAAGTTCAACATTTTCACATAAAAGGAATCAGTTCAGCCGCTAACTCGAGTTTAAAGTTTTGAGTTCACGAAATACTCCATATAATTCAAAATTCACACATAAAAGTAGTTATAGTAACTTTCTACTTAAACTCGATTTTTAGTTAAAAAAAAACCCCCTTTGAGTTTAAGAATTTGTGAGTTTAAAAAGACGGTTTTGTAACAATAGAACAATGTGCGAACAGGTTGGGGTTTCACATTTCAGGCAGATAATCAGCTTTAAGTTACAGTTTCTGCCGGCGGTTTTCAAATTAATGAAAAATTGTGGTGTTAATCGGGAGTTAAAAGAAGATTTTGCTGAATTCCGATATACTTGCTAATCAATATTAGTAAATGCTGTTGGTGGGCTCATACAATTAAGAAAAATATAAAAACAATATATTTTCAGCCTTGGATATTATTAAAATCGAGTTTTTAGTGATTTCAAAAAATTGAGAACCATAAGAATTGGTGAGTTTCAAATTTCAAAATTATCACTAAAATCGAAAACCACAATAAAAAAGAGAACTACAATATTTTGTCAGCCTTAAACACTAAAATTACCAATAAACTCGAGTTTGTGGTGAAAATAGAGAACCGCGTGATTTTGTTAGCCAAAACTAGTAATAAACCAGTAAATAAATAATCAATAACCACGAGTTTATGGACTCAGTAAATAAGTAAAAATTGAACTACATACTAACAGATTCAAACACCAAAATTATTAATGAATTTGAGTCAAAGTAAATTACGAAAAAGGAGAACCACAAGATGTTGCCAGTCTTGCATACCAAAATTAACAATAAACTCGAGTTTAAGTAAAATGAGAACCGAAGAATTTTGTGAGATTTCAACTCAAAACTCAACTTCAACTAAACTCGAGTTTTTGAAATTAAATTAAGAAAATGAAAATACCATAACATTTTAGCAGCCTTATACACCAACAGTAACAATAAACTCGAGTTTATGTTTTTAGTAAATTAAGAAGAAAGTGAAACACAAATGTGGTGTTAATAATTTAAGAAAATTAATAAGCACAAGATTTTGTCAAGCTTAAATTCCAAAATTATCCATAAAATCGAGTTTGTCATCTTAGTAAATTAACAAAATGAACCTAGTGGCTGTTCATTTATTAGTCTTAAGTCGGCAAAGCTTATCCTTAAAAATTAAATAATTTAAAATGCAAATATACACTTTCTTAGGTATATGGAAAACAATAAAGTGCGTCTACTTGCGGTCCGGCAAATTTCTCGATAAACTCTTACACTATATTTGGTGCATTGTCTTCACGAAACCACTAAATGTCGTATATTAAATTTAATATTTTTCTTCTGTTAATATTAAATTTTATGGTTATTTTTTTACTGTTTTCAATACATTATATTTTTTGATTTTCCGATCTTCCGATGCGTCCTTTCGCATTTAAGATCTTCATATTTTGTGCGCCAAAACTCCCTCGTTTTTACATAGTTAGAATTTGCATTTTATCGAAAACCAATTACCAAAAGCCCATAAAAGCTTCAAGCTTTTTATGACCCACCTGCTTGGCAGAAATGTTGTTGCTTAAAGAACTGTGGCTAGTAAAATATAAGCTTGGATTCATATTCATACAAATTTGTAACGAAAAATGATGAGCTCATCAAATAAATATCAAATAAAAGTACATAATAACATTCATAAAGCCAAAAATGAGGCATATACCCTCTCTTTCCATTAAAACTCAATTGATTACTGTCCATCACATGTATTTATATAGACCTACTCAGACACCCATATAAGCAAATAAACAAATTTCAAATGCTGACTACACAATAAATCATATTCTGGAAAATAAATGATTAATAAATGAATTTTGTGGGCAGTTGTAATGGAGGAAAAGGTCAGTTTGTAGCCGTAGAGCTTTGGATTGAACAAAACACCAGTTGCTCGACGCTGCTGCCGCGGCTGCTCATATAAACGAATGGCACTTCACGTATCAATGCATTTTCACTATGCTATTTATCTGAGGTAATAAATCGTTTACTGTCCACAGATGAGCAACTGGTGAACAACATACATGCGCACACTTACACACAAAAGCGAGTGTGTGTAAGTTGAAAAGCCGGAAAAAGAAATAAATGCGTTCAAATGCTACTAAAAATACCGCTAACTCGAAATTTCGTACCGAATGTCCACTTTTATTGTTGTTGTAGCATATGCCGTTATGTTAGAGTTATGTGCTGTGCGTGTATTTGTGTTGCGCTGCTTGCTGTGGCATTGTGATCGGAGTGAGATTGGCATTAATGTCAGCTCAAGCGGAAAATTCGATGATTTCTTTATTTGCACAATAATGTCCTGCACGAATTTATATCTTTCAAGGTTTGTTGGTGAGATTTTTTCTCCCACTTTTGCTTAATTTCTGGTTTTTGTTATTTATTGCCGCTTGTAAACGGCCAATTGCTGCTTGATAAGGCGAGAAGGTGCTGCAAGAATGCTTACGAAAAAAGATTCGAGTAGCGTTTGCCAACATAAGGCAGTCAATTGGTCAACTTGTGGCATATTTTATATGTAGTATGGGCTGACATGCCTTATATACCCTACATATGTTGGTAAGGGCTCTATATGTTGCTCAAATTTTTTGTGCGAGCATTTTTTATTACATCTTAATTGCGTTTGTCATAAAGAGATCTCTCTCCTTCCGTAAAGATAATTCGATAAGGTGTTGAAGTCAAGCGATGGACGGTGGGGTTAAGCATATAAAAATATTATTGCTGATAGGTATTAAATGATTTAAGAGATTATATGCAGTTGCAAGTCAGAAAAAACAAACGTTTTTTTCGAGAATTTGTTTTAATAGACATTTTATTTAATGATTAAATAAAAGAAATGTACATTTACATTAATAATCAGCTTTATATTTTGAATTCCCTTAATCTCGCAGTCAATCTCCAGGAGGATCTCCGCAAAAAAGTGTCTCGTGTTGAGGAGGAATTTTCTGCTTAAAGTTATCTCAAATCCAAAAACCAGAAAAAATTAGTATGACAATAGATCAGTCAGGTAATGATACTAAAATTTTAATGACTAGTTAAAATTGTAATTTTTTACTACATGGCGTTTTCTCGAAAAAAAGTCGCTTCTTGTGAAAAAACTTTGTCCTAAGAGTGGCTTAGAAAATCGACATTATTACCAAAAATCTTATTCTTTTCATCATTATCTGACAAATATAATATATCTCAGAAGGTCGATCAGTCTAGCCGTTTCGGCAACATTTTCATCACGGCCTCTGAAAACTGTGTCGAGAAAAATTGCAGAAATTTAGACAACGTTTTGATTAAAGTGCAATAACATGTTGCCTACATTTAGGCTTACCAAATTTTTTATCCAAGTCACACACCTAATATCAAACAAAACTAAAAGTTCATGTTTCATAAGTGAACACTTAATCAAAAAAATTACTGTTAATGTTTTAAATGCACTCACGGACAAATAGAAATTTCGCTCAGCCAAATGTGATACTAAATACTATAGCATATATCCTTTTTTGGGATTTTCTACTCCACATAATTACATTAAACCTATAAGTAACTGTGCGAAATTAATGCTAAAGGGCATTTGATTCGTAGTATGAAGTGAAAAATTGACATAAGGATTATTTTATAATACGAATAGAGTCATCAAACATGCTACTTGCCATAAATAGGGACTTTAGAGTGACTTTTAGAGTAACAATTGTCCTTTAAAGCCTATATTTGATTAAACAACAAAAAAGTTGTGAAAGCTGGTTTAAAATACGTAGGATTGAACAGAAATTGAACAGAATTTCTAATGCAGAGTGTCTATGACTTCTTTTTCATCTTAGACCTTATTTATAGTGAAGAAAATCATTTATTGAATATGTTTCTTGAGTATCAAACTTGTTGTGGCTTTCTCGTAATCTTCCCTTACACTTCACAGGCACAGACCGACGCTCGAAGCATATATTTATGTGAGGTTTCTGTATGCATAAAAATCGTATTTGCACAAAAAGTTAGTTTTTGCTTTTAATTGTTTATAGCAGCCATTAAAATATTCTTGTTACATTAAAATTAATTGAGTTACAATAAATACTAATTATTTTAAGGCGTCGGTTAAGTGTAAAACACCCACTGTATGTTATTTTGAGAGGTGTGATTTTGTGGTAACAGATCTTTTGAATCTTTGATGGTACTTTTCTGACCCCTCTACCACAAAATAATGTGTAAGCTATTTGACATTGTTGGTTTGGAAATATTTGCCATATCTAACAGTCAACTGGTCGGAAACATAAAATTCCCACGCACATAAATGCTTAATTGCATGCTAACCGCAAGGATGTGCATAGAAGAGTAAGTGGCCACGTTTAGCTTTTGAAGCAAATGCGTAGACAGTGATTTACCACATGGCAGAAGGCAAGTGGGTGTGCTTAGATACAAATATTGTTGTGTGAGCATTGATAAAATTAAAAATTCTAGTCTGGAACTTTGATTTGAAAATTGTGGCTAATTTAATGAAGATGAGTGATATAAGCAACAACAAATTTAATTGAATTTAAGAAATCTCACATTTCTTTAAATTTTTGGCTATAATTTGGTTTAAATCTTATGCTACTAATTAATAAGTAGTAATTTAAATATTAGTATGTACAAAGTTTGCAAGTATTCCGCTCGGATATTAATCATACGACACGTAGGGCCACAAGCAACATGTTGCGTCAGTGGCAACTCAATTGAAAATTATTAAATTAATAAAATATATGTTTCTGACAGCTGCAATAGTCGCGTTACAAGTTGAACGACAAAACTCGACGAGCTGATACTTTAACCACACAAATTTATTTATATGCACCTATACATACTTTTATATATCTTTATAGTTGAACGAACACTTAATTTGCTTGATAATTCTAATTTATTACGCAAATGGTATGATGCAAAATTAACGCGGTGTAGTAAGTTAAAACCGAATTGTAAAATGACTTGAAGAGAGAGAAAGGACAGAGAGAACAGGTAGAAACAGAAATATCAACAGAAACAGAATGAGAAGCAGAAACGGCTAATGCTAATTGAAAAAAAAACTATAAGGGAGAAGAAAGCCATATACATAAATAGTAACAGAAACAGTAGCAGAAACAGAAACAGAATGAGAATAATTAACGGTTTACGCTAATTGAAAAACAATCAGAAGAGAAAGAAATCGTAGTCATAAATATAAACAGTAACAGAAACTGAAACAATAACAGAAACCAAATAAGCTGCAGAAACGGTTAATGCTACTTGAAAAACAACTAGAAGAAAAATTCATAGGCAAAAATAGAAACAGTAATAGAAACATAATCAGCTACAGAAGTGGATTTGGCGAAGGCAATATAATAAATATTCACGAAATTTTACTCAATTACACACAAATACATACTAAATTAGACCATTAAGTAATTAACCTGTCAAATACCGTAATATGCTGCCATTTAGAACATATTTCAAACGTTTAACCAACTACGTTCGCTTTGCAACGTTTTGCCATTTCGTCATTTATCGCATTTTAAACAACAACAAATACAATGTTAATATACAGTATTATAAAAGCACAGCACACAGCAGATCATTCATCAATCTACTCAACGTAGCTGCTCACTTGCATTGATTGCATTACATCTGTTTCTTAGGCAAGCAGTTTCAGCCACCTGACAGCCGACTAAGCAGAGCAAAATAACTGTAACTTACCATCAACTAGTCAGACAGCTGGTCATTCAAACAGTCACACCAGTCACTATTTTAGTCATTTATTCACTTCGTGCTGCCGTAAGTAAGTTAGAACCAATCTTAACAACAACAGCAATCGTACTTGCTATATGCCACACTTTACAATTTAATTGAATTACATCAGTGTCATATCCAATCTGTAGTTTCTTCATCTCGTTTCATGTATTTCCTCCATGCGCACCTGTTCGTTGTGTGGACAGTTTCCTGTCAATGCTTCGACAAAAAAAAAAGAAAAATTTATTTATTTTTTACATTATAGTTTCTACTCCGATTTCCGCTTTGAAGTCAATTCTACTCAGATTACCAGCATTCGTATACATTTTGCATTTCCGCAACCACGAGACAAAAAACACAAATACAAGCATATTATATAACAGAAAACAAATATGCAGCTTTCTTTTTCCTGCATCTTTAATATTTCTCCGTAAAATGTTTATTTACTTTCTGAGATTGGCTAATTCGCTCGGCCAACTTATGCATATTTGAATAGATAAAGCAATCTCAGTGCAAAAATATAAATATAATTACAATTCATAAACTCATTAAACTTTGGTCATAATACATTAATCAAGCAGCTGGTGTATGATTTCAACACGAGCGTCAATAAATTTCAATATTCATTATTAAATTACTATTCTTTGAAAGAAGAAAATTGGAGATCGAGCAATGTAACGGCACACTTGTAAAATATATCATAAAATATAGATAAAGTCTATGAAAAGTTTTATTTTTTATTCAGTCTACTTAAACATAAAGACATAATTTTATAAACTTGTCGAGAATTGCAGACCTTCAAACTAAACGAATGAATCTTCACCTATAACTATATATGTCAGTATATATGCGAACTAGTTCCTCTGAACTTTTGCAGACTCCTCTTCTCCCCAATAAGCTGCACATATATTTTGAAAGTTTAAAAATATGTTACTAATGTTTTTAACTGATCCCTATTCTGGACGTTGTTTCCTTGACAGTGAAGTGAAATTATCCCAGAGCTTCCTTCTAGAGAAACCAAAGCTTTTGTGGAACCCAAGTTGAAGTATCATTTTTTAGAAATCTGAGGGAAATATGTGGTGTTGAAATCACTATTCGACATAATTGTGGCTTCAAATCTTTGTCGAAATAAACCAAAACACAAAAAGATGTTTTCTAATAAAACCCTAATTTGCTGGAGAAGAGGTGCAGTGAGCTTTTTCACGAATGAATCGAAGCTTAGACAATAGGTGAGAGGGAGAGTCTTCTGCAGCTCTCCATCAACTCTAGCTTCAGACTACCAGGACATTGCAGTGTCTTTCATTTGGAAGTGGCTGTAATTAAGGTGGAAGTAGATGTACTGATCCGAAGTGCAGCTTTCTTCAGAGAGATTTGCAATCATTCTGATAGCAGAGCTGCAATACTGGCCTTAAGATCACTGACGGTGGCAAGGAGTTTTAGACAACTTTATCAATAGCATACAGCTTCGTTAATATCCGACTTGATAGGGGGCTGGCTTACAGTGGAATTGTTGAAAACTGGAAAACGGATGAGCTCGCTAGAAAGGGTACCGTGAACACTTTTTTATCAGAGTGGCAACGTGTTTGTACTCTTGTCCTCTTGCGCTCAAGCGTTGATCAAAACCCTAAACTTGTGAGGCTGCAAAATCCTTCTGGTTCAAAGTGGTACGGAATCCTCTGAATTACTTGCTCTAAGCAATATTCATTTGGACACTGGACACTGTCTAATCGGTCCCCATGCTCTGAGGTTACATATCTTGTCGGCCGCAATTTGCCAAAGCTGTATGAACAAAGGCGAGTTCTAGATTGAGGTTGCAACAGCTTGGTAGACACACGAGCCTGGAAAAGTTACTGGGATTGATTATAGATACCTTAACAAATATGTGGCAGGCTCAAAGCACTTCGTCGATCTATCTATCTCCGGTGATCAATATCTAGAAGTTTGGAGGTGTGATCCTGCATCATCTTTGATCTAACCAAACCTAATCTATGCTTCGGAGAGTGGTGAATCGAACAAGCAACTAGACTAGAAAGACTCGCATAATTAAAAAGAGAATACTACTAGCTAACTAAAGAGAGCAGAGCACAAACATGACTATTATCGAAAACGCCAAAACTCTCTTTTTTCTATAGTATTCTTTCAACTTAACATATAGTATACTAGTAATATTTTTCTACAATTTTCGTTAAAATAATGTGCTCCATATTTTGTCATGGTTTGCCAAATACTTAAAATATTTTCGCAATTGCATTGCTGATTTATTTTATTGTTTCTCTTTTTCTTCCT